TCAAGCCCTTCTCAAATACAACACAGCTCCTTTAAGGCTCTCCTGGAGGATGGTTGGCCACCATTGGTAGTCTTAATAAAATAATTCCCTCCAATTGCTCGAAATGTATGGGGTCATGGCTAGAAGGATCCAGCTTTTGTCAAATTCATGTCAGATTTGACTTTTCATAGCAGGTTAGGAGAACTTACACAGCAGGTTAGGATAATTAATGTATCAGGTTAAGATAATTAAGTTAAGGTTAGGAAAAGTGTTCGGGTTAGGATTAGCTTGAATGCAAAACATTTCAACTTTTGACATTCATTTCACAAAAGCTGGATCCCTTCTAGCCATGACCAAATGTATGTCAACTGGCATCCCTGGGATGATAACAAATATGTACATTGTTCAAAACAGACTCTGGGACAGTTCTGGGATGACAAATCTAAAATCATACAACCATTGCATATAATTTTTTTTAGAAAAAAGCAATGAGCCTGATGCAACAGACCGTTTAACTTCAAATGTTGTATTTCTTCATATTATAAACATGGCTGTAGGCTACCCGGGAATGTTCCAAAATACAATTAGAGGGAAAACACCCATTCTCAAAACCGCAGCGCACGTGCCAACAGTTTCACGTGACAGAGATGAAAACATCCGTTAGAAATCAAATGATCAAATGATCATGATGAATCAACTAGCATGGGTTACTATGACTAGGATTGTGTCTTTGGCTGCTGGTCAATCAAATAACGTTGATTGGAAAACCAATAGAACATGAGAAAAATGCTGGTTTCAATGGCATATTAAGTGTTTATAAAATAATTCCCTCAACATTTCTATGGTCGTATTTTGGCTAGGCTAGGCTACTTTGAAACAAGGTAAGACATGCTTCTTGAAATTACATAAAACGTCCAGGTAAACAATTACGTTTATGGTTAAATAGTTTCAAAATGCTGACACCTCCTCTCAGATTCAAGGTGGGTGATGTGCTGTGCGCAACAGGGCAGGTACTGTCCTTCACTCTCCGGTCTTGTGACCATATGATCTGAACGAACCGTGCCTCGAGTATGTCGACAGAATCAAGCCTTTAGACATTAATGTTAAAGATCCTTTATTATATTTTGTCAAACATGACTGGTGTTTAGCTTATCCTATATTTATGTAATTAAAAGTGTAATTAAAGTTTGGCTACATTTTCTGGCACCTCCCTCATGTAAGCATCGGTTTGGACATGAGGCTGTATGTAGCCTGCATGTCGCCTACACTTTGACATTTAGGCTTTTTTATTTCTGTACATTAAAAATAGATTTTAATATTATTCCAATGTTGGCCTCTCTGATCCAATTCTGATTGGAGGAATTGTTTGATATTGTGATTTTTTAACTTAAATCTATATTGTTCTTGTCCAAAAATGTGTTTTACTTGTCCCGGACAAGACACTCGTTAATATCAAGGATTCAAACCAGCAATCTTTCAGTTACTGGCCCAACGCGCTTAACTTCTAGGCTACCTGCCACTGCCTCCTTCCCTGGTCCGTTTTCTGAACACCATCTCCCCTGGTGTGTGTAAGGAGAGAGAGACTGTAACACTGTACATAGACATAATGTGACATTTGAAATGTGTCTATTCCTTGTGAGTGTAATGTTTACTGTTCATTTTTTATTGTTTATTTCACTTTTGTTTATTATCTATTTCACTTGCTTTCGCAATGTAAACATACAGTTGAAGTCGAAAATTTACATACAGTACACCTTAGCCAAATACATTTAAACTCAGTTTTTCACAATTCCTGACATTTAATCCTAGTAAAAATTCCCTAAGGTCAGTTAGGATCACCACTTTATTTTAAGAATGTGAAATGTCAGAATAATATAAATATTTATTTCAGCTTTTATTTCTTTCATCGCATTCCCAGTGGGTCAGAAGTTTACATACACTCAATTAGTATTTGGTAGCATTGCCTTTAAATTGTTTAACTTAGGTCAAATGTTTCGGGTAGCCTTCCACAAGCTTCCCACAATAAGTTGGGTGAATTTTGGCCCATTCCTCCTGACAGAGCTGGTGTAACTGAGTCAGGTTTGTAGGCCTCCTTGCACGCACACACTTTTTCAGTTCTGCCCACACATTTTCTATAGGATTGAGGTCAGGGCTTTGTGATGGCCACTCCAATACCTTGAATTTGTTGTCCTTAAGCCATTTTGCCACAACTTTGGAAGAATGCTTGGGGTCATTGTCCATTTGGAAGACCCATTTGCGACCAAGCTTTAACTTCCTGACTGATGTCTTGAGATGTTGCTTCAATATATCCACATAATTTTCCTTCCTCATGATGCCATCTATTTTGTGAAGTGCACCAGTCCCTCCTGCAGCAAAGCACCCCCACAGCATTATGCTGCCACCCCCGTGCTTCACGGTTGGGATGGTGTTCTTTGGCTTGCAAGCCAACCCCTTTTTCCTCCAAACATGACGATGGTCATTATGGCCAAACAGTTCTATTTTTGTTTCATCAGACCAGAGGACATTTCTCCAGAAAGTACAATCTTTGTCCTCATGTGGAGTTGCAAACCGTAGTCTTGCTTTTTTATGGCGGTTTTGGAGCAGTGGCTTCTTCCTTGCTGAGTGGCCTTTCAGGTTATGTCGATATAGGACTCAAGTTTTACTGTGGATATAGATACTTTTGTACCTGTTTCCTCCAGCATCTTCACAAGGTCCTTTGCTGTTGTTCTGGGATTGATTTGCACTTTTCGCACCAAAGTACGTTCATCTCTAGGAGACAGAACGCGTCTCCTTCCTGAGCGGTATGATGGCTGCGTGGTCCCATGGTGTTTATACTTGCGTACTATTGTTTGTACAGATGAATGTGGTACCTTCAGGCATTTGGAAATTGCTCCCAAGGATGAGCCAGACTTGTGGAGGTCTATAATTTTTTTCTGAGGTCTTTTGATTTTCCCATGATGTCAAGTAAAGAGGCACTGAGTTTGAAGGTAGGCCTTGAAATACATCCACAGGTACACCTCTAATTGACTCAAATTATGTCAATTAGCCTATCAGAAGCTTCTAAAGCCATGACATCATTTTCTGGAATTTTACAAGCTGTTTAAAGGCACAGTCAACTTAGTGTATGTAAACTTCTGACCCACTGGAATTGTGATAGAGTGAATTATAAGTGAAATAATCTGTCTGTAAACAATTGTTGGAAAAATGACTTGTGTCATGCACAAAGTAGATGTCCTAACCAATTTAATGCATTTTCAATTACTACAGTCATTTCAACGTTGTTTAGTGTGCTCCTTTGCTCCTGACGTTAATGTATAATAATAATTATTTAATAAAAATAAATAATAATATGTAATAATAATAAATCATATTAATATAAATATATAATAATAATAATAATAATAATAATAATAATAGTAATAGTAATAATAATAATAATGTAATTGCATGAAGGCCTACTACCATCAGTAAACAGTGCATTCGGCAGGGTTAAAATGTTAATTCTTACATAGTGGTAGCCTTTTCACTTTTTGGAAAATATTGAATTCATTATGGTGGCAGATGAAACATTGAGTTTTACTGAAGCTGCCCATAACATGAAGCAACCCTGTTGTATTTAAACAAACCACAACATAAAATAAGGATTCTCAATACCTCACCAGACAAAAGCACACATCTGGCATTTGTAAACAGCGACATCATTGACAACCATTATGTACAAAGTCAATCCACAGCTGATTCAGACATTTCAGTTCTCTTCATATAAACCCTACAGGTTTTTGTGTGCATGATACACAACCTGCTATCGTTATCTGCCTGATAAAAAGGCAAGAGTATTAAAAAATGTCATTTGGCACTTTGAAAAATACATGAAAACCTCACAGTAGCACACATTGTTTAAATCAGTCAAAGATTGAGACAAACACATTATGTTGACAAACATTTCATGTACAAAACAGACCAACCAATACCTCCTTTGCAAAAACCGATTGCAGCTAGGGGCCCATCATTGTCTGTAAAACAGCTTAGGCACATGATAACACTTATTTCTGTTTGTTCAATGTTTTTTCCCTTTGTTTTGTGGATTAATAATATTTTGCAGGCATGATGTTATGACATTACCACAATGCAGAGTTATTCATAGCATGTTTGAATTTCCATATGTTTGTGTCAACCCACACAGAGAAATATAGGCATATGAAACGATGATGACGCATACTGCATCATTTCGACAAAACAATTAATACTCATGATATGCAGCAGAAATCTGTCAAATTAACCAATCTCATGGCCTATAATGAAGTGTCTTGGAGGTACAATACTGACATCTTGGATTATGCAAATACAGATTCAATATTTTAGCTTCCAGGCAAATCAAGTTACAAATGTCATCAAATCTAATCTAACCTTCCTTTACCCTCCCTCCCTTCATTTACCCCCCCCCCCCCCCCCCCTCCCTCCCTTCTTTTACCCCCCCCTCCCTCCCTTCTTTTACCCTCCCCTCCCTCCCTTCCTTTACCGCCTGAAATGTTAGCCTGTTTTGGTGTGATGGAGTTTTGGCCTGCCTGGTGACATCACCAGTAAATTAGTTAACAGACCAATAAGAAATATAATTCAAATTCTCTCTGCCAATGACAGCTAGTTTTAAGTGTTCCCCTCCCCACTCAGACCACTCCCAGACAGTCCTAGCAAAATTCTTGCTTGAGAAATTGCTCTTTGCTAAGAAGCTATTTTTGTTTATTTTTGACCATTTTAATTGAAAACAATCACAGTAAGATACTTAATTATTACCCAGAAATGATTTGATATTGAGATAAAAACGGCTGCATTGGACCTTTAAAGTGGGGACAAAAAGAGAGAGAAAGAGAAAAAGAGAGAGAAAGAGAGAAAAAGAGAGAGAGAGAGTCCTGGTAGTAGATGCAGTGTCAGTCTGGTTTGAGGCTCCTATCTTCTCCTCCTCTCACACAGCCATCCTCTATTCCTCTCCTCCGTCTATACTGGCTTGAGGGGCCTAGGCCAGTCTATGAGGACCCCTCCACGTTGATGGTGGTGACTGTGGCCATGAAGCACCTCTGGAAGAGGCGGTCTGGGTCTGGAGGCTGGTTGTCACAGTCCAGTTTACCACTCAGGAAGTGCTTCTTAAACCCTTGGGGACCCGTAGGGGCGCTGCTGGGGTGACTCTGACTCGGCCCCTCTCGCGGACTGGGTTCAGCACCTGGAAATACAATGTTTTCGCATTTGTTCAATTTTGTATTTATTTAAAGTAAGTACCCCCTCAGGTGTGTCTGATGAAGAATCATGCAATACATTGCTTTGAGATGGAGAGCTTTTCTCTCTATGGGTCCCCGCTCTAAATTGTTATAAATATCTGCTGACTGATATTGAGAGTTAGTTATTTTCCTTATACTCCAGAACCAGTAGCAACTTATTCATAAGAAATATGGTTTCTGAGTAGCCATGCTGGAAAGCATACAATTGGATGACCAACTGAAATCTCAAGTGGAAAGGACAAGGAGGAATGCTAGATAGAGACTGTATAAAAATCAATTTGACATGTCATAGGAAAAATCTTTCGCTATTGTTATTAGGGACAAAAATACCATCTTGTAAAATGAATCAGTCTACTTCCACATTCACACAAACTGATTACACTGAGTGACAAATAATGGACTCCTACAAGCTTGTCCAACATCTAATTGAATTCTAATTATATAGCCTTTCTTTTCACTATAAAAACCTAAAACTCCATGATCTCTGTAGACAGTTAGCTGATGGATTCTGTTCCCTTTATCAATCTGACAAAGGCGATCACAATGGGAGTTATTGGTTGGCATTGCTCGACTGGTCAAACGGTGCATATTGAGAGTGAATGTTAGTGAGTGAGAGTGCCTTTCATATGAAAATGACTACCCTGAATCCTTACTTTGAGAATGCTACAGACTTTTGATTTTCAGACCTACATTTTGTTTTTGTTTAATGAAGCTTTCATTTTGAGAGTAGAGTTGTGTAGTTAACGAAAGGCACTCTGAATTCCGCATTAATCTACATTACAATTACGAGCAGACAGCCGTCCCTTTCAATATCAGCTCAGTTCCATCCCCCACTTTGAAACTGATCACAGAGGATTAACATCAGTAGTCCAGTCCACTGTGGATTGGTTGTTTTTTCTTCTGATTCCTCATCAAATATCAAGGGCAAAGCAGCATTCATTGTTTTTCTCAGCATGGCAGCATGGGGTATATTTTGTTATTACGCTGGCCTGGCTGGCACACAAACAGACACACACAAACATACACACACACACACAGTTTGAAAAAGTATTCACCCAGTTCAGTTCATGCATATAAAAAATATCAAAATCAGAGTTTATTTGTCACGTGAACAGGATACAGCAGGTGTAAACAGTACAGTGAAATGCTTACTAGCAAGCTCTTTCCCAACAATGCAGTATATCAAAGGTAAGAAAATAAGATAAAATACAAACACATGAGAAATAAAAACAAATGAGAATGTACGCTTTATACAGGGTCATGTTTTGAATGTGCTGCGCAAATTGAAAGCTCCAAGGCTACAAAATGTGAAAAGTCAGCATTTGAATACTTTTCCCAAGACATGTTCAAGGCCATAGAAAATATTTTTCGAAAAAGAGAAGGATTAGAAGGATCCTTGCCCGTGTACCATGGGCTTTAGACTCATTAAGTAACTCAGGCAGAATGTTGGGTGAAGGAAGGTAGTGGGTTCTCTCATGTGGAGGCAACCACGCACACACGCATGCGCAAGCGCACACAAACGCAAACACAAACACAGATAATTATCTCAGCCGGTGTGAGAAGAAATTAACTGTGAACTTATCTATTAACGGACGCTTTCTGGCTTCCTGCAGGCTTCCTCCATGGTTATCCAACTCAATGGATCTTCTATTAACCGAGCGGAAAGGACAGTGGAGACAGGGAAATCAAGAGGGGGAGAGGTTTGCCTCTTCATCAACAACAAATGGTGTGCTTACTCGAGCGCAGTGGAAGTCTCGACCCATTGTTCACCTGATGGTCAAATACCGACCCTTCTACTTCTCGAGGGAGTTTTCAGCTGTTATTGTGACTGTTGTACACATTTCACCTCAGGACAATAAATATAGCAAGCTGGCACTTAACGAACTGTATGAGGCTATAAACAAGAAGGTAGACTTGCACCCGGAGGCTGATTTCCTTGTTGCCGGTGATTTTAATTCCACGTCATTAAGACACGCGATGCCCAACTTCCATCAACATGTCTTCTTCGCCACTAGAGGCGATAAAGTCCTAGACCACTGTTACTCTACCCACAAGCAAGCATACAGGCCCTCCCGTGTAGCGCTGTTATGGTGACCGTATTACTGCCACACCGGCAGTTACGAGTCATGACAGCAGTAAAATATACCGTGTGACCGTTTAGTCATGGTAATTATGCTTCTCCAAGCTCTGATGCTGCAAATGGTCATTAATAGCCTACCAAACTTGCTAACTGCCTGGTACTCAGCACTCTATTGTCACTCTAATCACTCTGACATTTGTATTTGTATTTTGTCAAGGCAGCAGCTAATCTTCTTGGGGTCCAGCAAAATTAAGGCAGTTATGCAATTTTTAAAACATTACAATACATTCACAACATATTTCACAACACACTAAGTGTGTGCCCTCAGGCCCCTACTCCACTACCACATATCTACAACACAAAATCAATGTGTAAGTGTGTGTATAGTGCTATTTTATTGTGTGTGCCTATGTTTGTGTTGCTTCACAGTCACCGCTGTTCCATAAGGTGTATTTCTATCTGTTTTTTAAATCAAATTTTACTGCTTGAAATGCAAATAAATCCAAATCTAAATCAAACACTTCATGAGAGCCCATAAGCTCATGTTGCGCAACATTTCTATAGGCTATGCAATTGCGTGAGAAAGCAGAGTTTTGATGGCCTCTATTAAAAAGAGGAGGATCCCATCAGCTTTGTATAGGCTAGGCCTACTATATTTATTTATCAACTTTCCTAATATTAAGCACGTTGCTTCGCTTTACAACAGGAGTATAGCCTACCTGGCTGGCATGAAAATGAACCATGGGAAAAGCGTCCTCCATTTGCTATTTTAGTGCAGAGATTACATGTATTTTTTTCCCATGCCCCTGTTCCGAGACAGGTGCATAATATGGTCCATTCTAAATCAAAACTAATGTCACACATATCTATTATTTAGTATATGTAAAGACAATATTAAATTAAGAATAGTCTGAAGGGTGACAATATTAGCCTATCACTTGTGAATGATATATTATCACTTGTGAATGATGCCCAGCTAGTGCATTAAGGCAAGAAACAGCTCATACCTTTTTTTTGCGCCTTTTTCAAATCATAGATACACTTCATGTATCCTAGCCCATAAGCCTATATGTTTTGATAAGGTTTGTATCATAACTAAAGTGGCCATATAACTTCTTAAAATTAAGCACATTAATCTGCTTTATAACCGGTGTAGAGCCGAACTGGTATACTGGCATTTCAAGTTTGGGGAAGATAATTTTCACCATAAAAATGCACCTTTATAATAAAGCATTACATGCATAATCGCATTTGCAGTCACTTTCGAGAACAGTGTTTTCCCGCTAATTTATTGCACTTTGGAACATTTGCGCTTATAGCCTACTGCCGTGTGCACATTGCTGCGCTTATAATGTGAAAAAATAGCATAATAGTTCATCAACATTTTAAGCTAAACTATCAAATTTTTTTGATGCGAGTGATTGTATTAATTTGGAATCTATTGCATCCCACAACTGTCCCAGAGTATGTTTGGAATATTTATTTATTGCACAGAAGGACAAGTTGACCAATAGAATAGGTCAACTTTTGTACTATGGGGGATAGTAGATTGACATAGGCTAGTGCTTTTGCTGTTCGTTAGGCCTACTCATCTTGTTGGCTGACAAAAAATAGGCTAAATGTGGACAGTTCTAACATCTTCAATATGCGCCTCGGAATTTGATAAGAGGGACGCGCGCAGTTGCTTCCCTGATGTGTCTATCTTCACTCACTTGTAGCCTACTTCTTAGCTGAACTACCTGTGAGAAGGACCCATTCATGTGAAGGCATTTGCTACATCTGAGCAAGCCATGTGAGTGAGAGGTGCTTCGGAGCACGGCAGCCGGCAGCCAGGAGAAGGGAATTATAATTAGCCTATTATATTCAGGCCAAGGGCACAACGGCCACTTTGGCTGCAAAAGGCATGGATCTTTTAGGGGGCATTACGGCCACGAAAGGGGGATGCCACTGGGAAATTCGAGGCCTGGTGAGAATATTATCAAGTGCTTGTCAAATTGTGAATGAGAGACTGATGAAGTGTTTGCAGCTTGCAACTTTTTTTCAAATCATCATTAGAGTGCCATCATGCAGCCTTGGAATGTATTAAAAATCAAAACATATAGCCCAACGTTTGTATCACAACTAAAGTTGCATAAATAACTCTAAATTAAGCATATAAGAGGACCAGTTTCTTTGTTTACCGCTCAACACAGAATAGCCGCATGTGCGCACATCCTTTTAAATCATTTGGAGTAAATATCCTTTCTATTTTATTAATGTTTATGTTCAGTTGTATTCTTCATACTATAAAATAATAAAAAAACAATGTCACGGAATTCTAAGCAAATCTTGTCTGCTAAATTAACCAGTGTAGCCCACAGCCATATGGCATAGCCATATCAGGGCCTAACATAAGGACAACTCAGAGTATGCTATTCTGTTCTTCTGAAATAGACTACATTTTCTTCATATCATGTTTCTTTAGACCTGTCTAAAATAAATAATGGATTTATTGTGATGGTGTAGGCTCTATTAAATGGATTTATTATACTTTTTTAAATGTAGATGTTCCAAAGGTCTGCATCAGTGGCTTGTAGGCTATGCATGGCAGCCAGGTGATGCTAAACGTGTTTATGCTAATTAACGGTAAATTACCGTGAGACCGGCAGTTATTTGCTTGACAATCACCGGCTGACAGAATTTCATGACCGCCACAGCCCTACTCCCACGTCCCCCATTTGGCAAATTAGATAATGACTCTGTACTCCTGTTTCCAGTTTACAAGCAGAAGCTCAAACAGGAAGTACCCGTGACTTGCTCCATTGAGAATTGGTCATCAGAATCAGAAAGTATGCTACAGGCCTGCTTTGCTAGCACTGACTGGAATATGTTCAGAGACTCTGCCGATAATATCGACGAGCTAACCTAAAGGACAGGGCTACCGCACACAGGGGTTTCGCAGACAACCCTGAGGCAATGGCTGAGGACAGGAACATGTACAAGAAGTCCCACTACGACCTCCACAGAGTCATCAAACGAGCAAAAGGACAATATAGGAATAAGGTGGAATCATATTACACAGGTTCCGACACCCGCCGCATGTGACAGCGGCTACAGTCCATTACAGATTATAAAGAAAGACCCAACCGTGATCTGCCCAACGATGCCTCTTTACCAGACGAACTCAATGCATTTTATGCACGCTTCGACAATAACAACACCGTGCCGTGTGTGAGGGCCACCATCGACCCAGAGGACTGGGTGATCTCGTTCTCCAAGGCCGACATTAGTAAGATCTTTAATCAGGTCAACACTCGCAAGGCTGTGGGGCCGGATAGTATTCCAGGGTGCGTTCTCAGAGCATGAGCAGAACAGCTGGCAGGCATGTTCACGGTCATTTTCAACCTCTCCTTGTCCCAGTCTGTAATCCCAACATGTCTTAAGCTGACCAACATCGTTCCTGTTCCCAAGAACTCTAAGGCTTCATGCCACAATGACTACCGCCCTGTAGCACTCACATCTGTAATCATGAAGTGCTTTGAAAGGCTGGTTATATCACACATCAACTCCATCATCCCAGACACCCTAGACCACATATGTCAGAGTCAAGGCCCGCGGGCCACATCCGGCCCGCGAGAAGGTTTTTTACGGCCCCTGGGATGATCTTGATTTATTATTAGAACCGGCCCGCAGACCGCAGCAAGCCGGCAGCCCGCAGATCTTTTACACGCACCAATACTATATGCGTCAAGATACGGGAAAAGATGCAAGAGGAAAACGCGACAGGTGAGCTGACAGCTTATCATTGTATCATACACCAGGAAGCGTTGTGCGGTAAAGCCTTGAAAATGGAGCATGTAATGAGCATCATCACGCGCACAGTTAACTTTATCAGAGCCAAAGGTTTGAATCACCGCCAGTTCAAGGCATTTCTGACGGAGTTAGAAACGGAGCATGGTGATTTGCCTTATCACACAGAGGTGCGATGGCTAAGCCAGGGAAAGGTGCTTCAAAGATGTTTCGAGCTTCGTGAGGAGATTTGTCTGTTCTTGGACAGCAAAGGGAAAGACACAACACAACTCCGAGACGAAATGTTTCTGTGTGAAATGGCTTTTCTGTGTGACATTACGAGTCATCTGAATGCAATGAACTTGCAGCTGCAGGGTCGGGATCATGTCATCTCTGATATGTACAGTACAGTGAAGGCATTTAAAACCAAACTGACTCTGTGGGAGACGCAGATGCGGAAAGAAAATTTGAGCCACTTTCCCAGCTGCCAGACCATGAAAGAGAAGCTCTCTACCAGTGCGTTCCCGAGCGCACAGTTGGCTGATAAAATAGGTATGCTTGCCGCTGACTTTCGACGCCGATTTGCTGACTTTGAAGCACAAAAAAGCAGGTTGGAACTGCTCGGTAACCCATTTGCTGTTGACGTGGAAAGCTCACCACCAAACCTCCAAATGGAGTTGATTGACCTCCAATGCAATGATGCACTGAGGGCAAAATATGCGGCAGTGGGTGCTGCGGAGTTCGCCCGTTTCCTCCCCGACACAATGCCCCAGCTGCGCATCCAGGCTGCTCAAACGTTGTCTATGTTTGGCAGCACATACCTGTGTGAACAACTGTTTTCTTTGATGAACCTGAACAAAACATCACACAGAAGTCGACTTACTGCTGAACACCTCCACTCAATTCTGAGGATTTCCTCAGCTCAGAGCCTTACCCCGAACATTGATGAACTTGTGGAAAAGATGGGACACCACCAAGTATCACCCTCAACCTCAAACAAGTGAACATTACTGTGCAATCACATATTTAGAGTTTTTACTCAGTTCAAGTTTAAAAGTTAAAGTTTAATATTTGTTTTCACTGCATGTTACTTCTCCTTAAACAAAGTGTTGTTTTTGATTAATAGATTTTTGCACTTTATTTTATTGTATTTCAATCCAATTATATTTTAAAAATATTTCAGTTGAGTGGATGATAGAAAATTGCTATTATTGTTTTTTTCTTTGAAGTAAATTTAGCCCACTTTTGCTAAAATAGAAAATATAGGCTACTGATGGTGCCTTGAATACCGGTTTCTTTCATTTAATGTTCATGTTATGGGGATTTTTATATAAAGGAAATTTGTCTTTTGTGTCTGTTGAAAATTAAAGATTACTGACAGAGCCATAAGAAAATATTGCTTTATTTATCTGATCATATTGGAATATATTTGTTAGGTTTTCAGTAGGTTCAATTAGGTTCACTAGACTATATGCGTCATTTAAAATTTTTTCAATGAACATTCGAACAGTCCGGCCCTCGGCTTGTAGCTAAATTTTTTATTTGGCCCTCCGTCCATTTGACTTTGACACCCCTGCCCTAGACCCACTCCAATTTGCATACCACCCCAACAGATCCAGAGAAGACGCAATCTCAATTGCACTCCACACTGCCCTCACCCACCTAAATAACAGGAATACCTATGTGAAAATGCTGTTCATTGACTACAGCACAGCGTTCAACACCATTGTCCCCTCCAAGCTTGTCACCTATTTTAGGACCCTGGGACTGAACACCTCCCTCTGCAAATGGACCCTGGACTTCCTGATGGGCCGACCCCAGGTGGTGAGGATAGGCAACATCACCTCCGCAATGCGGACCCTCTACACGGGGGCCCCACAGGGGTGTGTGCTTAGTCACCTCCTCTACTCTCTGTTCACCCACAACTTTTGGCCACGCACGACTCCAACACCATCATCAAGTTTGCTGACGACACGACGGTGGTAGGCCTGATCCCCGGCGATAATGAGACAGACTATAGGGAGGAGGTCAGTGACCTGGCAGTGTGGTGCCATGACAACAACCTCTCCCTCAACGTCAGTAAGACCAAGGAGCTGATCGTGGACTAAAGAAAACAGGGGGGTGAGCACGCCCCCATTCACATTGATGGGGTTGCAGTGGAGCGGGTCGAGAGCTTCAAGTTCCTCTGTGTCCAAATCACTAAGGACTTAAAATGGTCCACACACACAGTCGTTAAGAAGGCGTGACAGCGCCTCTTCCCCCTCAGGAGGTTGAAAAGGATTGGCATGGCCCCTTAAATCCTCAAAAAGTTATACAGCTGCACCATTGAGAGCATTTTGACTGGCTGCATCACTGCTTGGTATGGCAACAGCACCACCCCGATCGCATAGTGCTACAGAGGGTGGTGCGGACAGCCAAGGACATCACTGGGGCCGAGCTCCCTGCCATCCAGGACCTCTATATCAGGCGGTGTGAAAGGATGGGCCGGAAACTTTTTAAAGACTCCAGACAGCCAAGCCATAGACTGTTCTCTCTGCTTCCGCCCGGCAACCGGTACCGGTGCATCAAGTCTGACACCAACAGTCTCCTGAACAGATTCAATCTCCAAGCCATAAGATTGCTAAATAGCTAACAAAATGGCTACACGGACTATCTAAGTTTACCCTTGTATTTTTTTTGTATCTCTATGCACACTCACAGGACACACACACTCTCTCTCTCTCTCTCTCTCTCTCTCTCTCTCTCTCTCTCTCTCTCTCTCTCTCTCTCTCTCTCTCTCTCTCTCTCTCTCTCTCTGCACTTTTATTGTCAGAAGGCTACCTATATTAAGTACAGCCTTGGTATCTGTAAGAGCCCTTTGCTAGAGCATTCATAATCAGCCCCCCTTTTCAATGTTATTTGTTCCTACTAAGGAATGGGCATCTTACTCCATCCTATACACCAAAAGTCATTCCGATCTGAATCTGAGTGCTACTGGAACCACAGAAGACAAATGCCCCAAGCCCTTCTGGCATTTAAAATTAAAATTATTTCCATAGAGGTGAGCTTCACTTCTGTTCATATCTTCTGTTTCCATCATGTACTGTAGCATTGCAACACCTTGAGGGTGGGATAAACACACTTCAAATAAAATGATGTGTTATTGTCATCATCCTTCAACTCAACATATGATAATACGGCGGTTTCTATAGGCTCCTGTGGCATTGAGCGATTTTGGCATGAGTGGTATTCATTGGGGCACAACGTAGCAAAACGTTTTTTAACAGAAAACAAAAACAAGCTGTTCTTATTAAGTCCAGGTAGTCCCACCCTGTTTTAGTCAGTTTTCTTCTGTTTGGTGCCTAGTGAATACGACCCTTGCCTTGTAATAGCGGGTCACACTGTTGGTGACATACCTGGTGCTCTGAGGGGCAGGCCGTTGTCCAGGCCTCTGGGTTTGGTTGCGATGAACAGATAGCACAGGACACAGATCGTGATGATGAAGGCTAGCAGGACCACAGCTGCTATGGACAGGCCAACCAGCGCTCCCAGACTGTCAGAGAGAGAGACAGAAAGAGAGACAGAGAGAGAGAGAAAGAAGAGAGACAGACAGACAGACAGAGAGAGAGAGACAGAGGGAGGGAGAGAGAAAGAGAAAAACAGAGACAGGGAGAGAGAGAGAGAGAAAGAGAGAGGGAGAATTTCATGGAATGAATTAAAGAGAAAGGGGAATATAAAGTACAGCAGACGAATGAAAGAGAGAATAGGAGAGGAAGAATACAAGAGATTTAAGTTCTTCTATTCACTTTCAAAGATATAAACATTTCTATTGATGTTTGAAAATGTTATCATACGTTTTAGAAGTTGTGCAGCAGTAGCTGAGAGACTAACTATTGAGTGTGATCAAAGGCAAAACATAATTCCCGCTTAGACAATGTTCAACTTCAGGAAATGAACAGATCATCAAATTCAAATGAAATTCTTCCACTGTATGCATTGCTGACACAAGCATTCCACTGAAATGAGAAGAGAAGTCCTTTGATGAAAAAACTATTTTATGATATCTACAATCACTGCCTCTGTGATGAGGTGATTTAGAAGGAGTCAGGCACAGGAGGGTAAATCACAGAATAACAGGATTTATTCTGTGTGGTGTCTCAAAATATGTTGCTAATTATGCTGTGATGATAAGAAGTCCGCTTACACTGTACTTTGATTATAAAGGTTTATTATTTCAAAGTATTCCAGCGTCAATTTACAGACATCTGCAGATATCTGGAGAACAACATCCCAATCTGTTAATATGTTGTTTCTCCCCGTCCTTTGTTCAAAACATGGTATTTATCCTATGTAACATAAGATGGGTGGTTTTTGACAGACCAATCCCCGGCTTTCCCACATATCTCCAAATGTCCTCTATTCCAAGAAGCCTATGTAGCAATGCTTTTCCAAATGCTTCAGCAAAGCAGAGTAAAGTTCATCTATTACACCATTTGCAAATGTCAGCTAAATCAATAGACCTTTAGACACTACATTCTGAAACATAGAGTTACGCAGTAATGCGTTAAAAACACTCCAGTGCGCAAAACAGGCGCACTGGAAAATACAAGGCACACGGGGAAATAACCCGGAGATACAAAATACACGGCGCTCCACCGAGCTTCGCTATCCTCCACAATAAACAATCACACACAAAGACAAGGGGGCAGAGGGAATACTTATACAGGTACTGATGAGGGGATATGAACCAGGTGTGTGTAATAAACAAGACAAAACAAATGGAATGATGAGATGAGGAGCGGCAGTGGCTAGAAGGCCGGTGACGAACTCCGAAGCCTGCCCGAACAAGGAGAGGAGGCAGCCTCGGAGGAAGTCGTGACAGCCTCAAAGTATTTTCATTTGTATTTGAAATTATACCAAACTATCTGGTGTTTTCATTCCCAATCAGAATGAGAGATTTCTTAGTCTTTTTACCCAAAAGGCAAAGCACCTAAGAAAACTACTTCAATCAAACCAATTGACTGTTAAATCAATCAAGTCTCACCTAAAACTTGAAGCACAAGAGAGTGGAGGGAATAGTTAGCCTTTATCAGTGCCTAGTCAGGGCGAATATTATCAATCAATTACAAATGCATTTTATATGCATTCTGAAGAGCCTATAGTGGTTTATGAAGACAGATCACTGTTGCCACAAGATTCCAGTGCCACAACTTTAGAATACTGATGAATGAGTCTGAAGGCGACACAGAGCAGCTTTACGAAAATGTATTAGGATCAGCGACAGATTATTTTGAGATCTATGTGATGTGTTTGGCACACACACACACACACACACACACACACACACACACACACACAAACCCATACTAAAGTCTAACTTAAGCCTAATGTATAATTTTCAACTTCCTGTTCTTAAAAAAGGCACCAAAGGAACACTTATGAACACCTGCGTCACTCTTTGCTCTCTGCCATGGGATTAAAATCATAAACCTTTATGTTCAGTTCTGTAATGACTTCTTTCACTTCTATTCATATGATCTCTCTATGATCAGTCATTCACTGTGGGATCCTCATAGCTTGGTGGTGATAATGTTGTATCGATTATGTCCACAGAAAGCCCTTTCAAGATTACTTTCTTTCACCACAGGCCCACAGGAATCCCTTTCAAGATGACTCTCTTTCTCCACAGGTCCACAGGAAGCACTTTCAAAATGACTTTTTTTCTCCACAGGTTGCCCTTGTTATCTATTTATAGAACTAGAGAGGATATGCTGTTGACAGGAACCTTCCACATTGGTGGTTGTCTTAAAGCAGCTCACAGGGAGCCTCGCTGGGAGCCTCGTATCCTTTTTATTAAACCGATTGAGCTACAACTATACAATATCACAAACACTACAGGATAGCCAGGCATTTTGTTACCGTGTGAATGAAAGAGATTGTAAGACAGCTACTGCACAATATCACAAACACTACACAGTACTACTGTATTTGAAAGGAGAAAACGGAACCCCCTCCCATAACGTTGGGTGGTTTGAAGGACTGACTCCATGGAAATGTTAAAAGGCCTGTATAACTGAATAACTGAATAATGCATTAAAGGGGCAATCCGCAGTTGCTACATTCATTTTTAGACTGTTAAATCAAGACCTCTGTAATCCGCCCTGGCATGCTGTCAATTAACTTCTGGGCCACATCCTGACTGATGGCATCCCATTGTTGCATAATCAATGCTTGGAGTTTGTCAGAATTTGTGGGTTTTTGTTTGTCCACCCGCCTCTTGAGGATCGACCACAAGTTCTCAATGGGATTAAGGTCTGTGGAGTTTCCTGGCCATGGACCCAAAATGTCGATGTTTTGTTCCCCTTATGGCAAGGTGCTCCATCATCCTGGAGAAGTTGCTTGGGAGAAGTTGCTCTCGGGGGATGTGTTGGTACCATTCTTTATTCATGGCTGTGTTCTTAGGCAAAATTGTGAGTGAGCCCCCTCCCTTGGCTGAGAAGCAACCCCACACATGAATGGTCTCAGGATGCTTTACTGTTGGCATGACACAGGACTGATGATAGCGCTCACCTTGTCTTCTCCGGACAAGCTTTTTTCCGGATGCCCCAAACAATCGGAAAGGGGATTCATCAGAGAAAATGACTTTACCCCAGTACTCAGCAGTCCAATCCCTGTACCTTTTGCAGAATATCAGTCTGTCCCTGATGTTTTTCCTGGAGAGAAGTGGCTTTGCTGCCCTTCTTGACACCAGGCCATCCTCCAAAAGTCTTCGCCTCACTGTGCGTGCAGATGCACTCACACCTGCCTGCTGCCATTCCTGAGCAAGCTCTGCACTGGTGGTGCCCCGATCCCACAGCTGAATCAACTTTAGGAGACGGTCATGGTGCTTGCTGGACTTTCTTGGGCACCCTGATGCCTTCTTCACAACAATTGAACCTCTTTCCTTGAAGTTCTTGATGGTTGATTTAGGTGCAATCTTACTAGCAGCAATATCCTTGCCTGTGAAGCCCTTTTTGTGCAAAGCAATGATGATGGCACGTGTTTCCTTGCAGGTAACCATGGTTAACAGAGGAAGAACAATGATTTCAAGCACCACCCTCCTTTTAAAGCTGTCAGCCTGTTATTCTAACCCAATCAGCATGACAGAGTGATCTCCAGCCTTGTCCTCGTCAACACTCTCACCTGTGTTAACGAGAGAATCACTGACATGATGCAGCTGGTCCTTTTGTGGCAGGGCTGAAATGCAGTGGAAATGTTTTTTTGGATTAAGTTCATTTTCATGGCAAATTGCCATCATCAAAACTGAGGCAGCAGACTTTGTGAAAATTAGTATTTGTGTCATTCTCAAAACTTTTGACCACGACTGTACTGTACAGTAGTACAGTTTCTGACAGCTTCTGAATGACTCGGTTTTTCTGCCGGAATCACTGAATCACTGGACCTTTAACACCGGATTCATCGCTACCAGCTAGCTGCAACAAAATTGCCGTTGTGGTTTGGCTAATCAGCCTGAGCTAGCTTTGAGCCAGGCCCATCTCCCGGCTATCTACCTCTCTGTCAACCGGACGGGACCACCTAGTGTTGACACGGAGCCCCGCCGATCCAACACGACTGGTCTGCCGACGAAATCGTCTGATGTGGTTACAACAGGCTTCCCGTTACGACGTCGACCACGAAGATTCCATCTGCTAGCCCCGGCCCGCTAGCACACGCTAGCTGTGGCCTCTTGCTCGCTAGTGCTTTAGCAGCCCCCGAACTACCTCCGAACTATCCTATTGCTGTTCACCGGACCTTATGATAACTCAGCTATACAGCTGATGCCTGCTGGACTGTTCCTTTTTACGGTACCGCATCCTGTTTATGTTTAGCCTCAGCCCAAACTGTGTCGCCATTACCAGCTGTTGTCTTAGCTCTCTCAAATTACAACTGTGATTGCTTTATGCCTCTCTCCCATGTCAATATGGTTTGCTTATTGCTGTTTCGGTTATTTCTTATTGTACTATTTCACTGTAGATCCCCCAGCCCAGCTAAACCTGCCTTAGATAGCTCCTTTGTCCCACCCCCCATACACGTGGAGACCGACTCAATCGGTGCCTCCAGTGATGCTATCTCTTTCATTGTTACCCAACGCTTAGGTTTACCTCCACTGTACTCTTATCCTTCCATATCCTTGTCTGTACATAATGCCCTGAATCTTTTCTACAACGCCCGGAAATGTGCCCCCTTTATTCTCTGTACCCAACGCACTAGAAGACCAGTTCTTAAAGCCTTTAGCCGTATCCTTATTCTAGTCCTCCTCTGTTCCTCTGGTGATGTAGAGACTAACCCAGGCCCTGCAGCCCCCAGTATCACTCCTACTCCCCAGGTGCTATCATTTGTTGACTTCTGTAACCGTAAAAGCCTTGGTTTCTTGCATGTTAATATCAGAAGTCCCCTTCCTAAGTTTGAGCTATTCACTGCGTTAGCACACTCCGCCAACCCTGATGTTCTAGCAGTGTCTGAATCCTGGCTTAGGAAGGCCACCAAAAATTCTGAAATGTCCATCCCCAGCTATAACATTTTCCGTCTAGATAGAACTGCCAAAGGGGGTGGAGTTGCAATTTACTGTAGAGATAGCCTGCAGAGCTCTATCATACTATCCAGGTCTGTGCCCAAACAGTTTGAGCTTCTACTTCTAAAAATCCACCTTTCCAGAAATAAGTCTCTCACTGTTGCCGCTTGCTACAGACCCCCCTCAGCCCCCAGCTGTGCCCTGGACACCATATGTGAATTGATTGCCCCCCATTTATCCTCAGAGTTCGTACTGCTTGGTGACCTAAATTGGGATATGCTTAACACCCCGGCCATCCTACAATCCAAACTAGATGCCCTCAATCTCACACAAATTATCAACGAACCTACCAGGTACAACCCTAAATCCATAAACATGGGTACCCTCATAGATATCATCCTGACTAACTTACCCTCTAAATACACCTCCGCTGTCTTCAACCAGGATCTCAGCGATCACTGCCTTATTGCCTGCGTCCGTAACGGGTCCGCGGTCAAACGACCACCCCTCATCACTGTCAAACGCTCCCTAAAACACTTTAGCGAGCAGGACTTCCTAATTGACCTGGCCCAGGTATCCTGGATGGATATAGATCTCATTCCGTCAGTAGAGGATGCCTGGTTATTCTTTAAAAGTAATTTCCTCTCAATCTTAAATAATGCCCCATTCAAAAAATACAGAACTAAGAACAGATATAGCCCCTGGTTCTCCTCAGACTTGACTGCCCTTGACCAGCACAAAAACATCCTGTGGCGTTATGCATCAAATAGCCCCCGCGATATGCAACTTTTCAGGGAAGTTAGGAACCAATATACACAAGCAGTTAGGAAAGCAAAGGCTAACTTTTTCAAACAGAAATGTGCATCCTGTAGCACTAACTCCAAAAAGTTTTGGGACACTGTAAAGTCCATGGAGAATAAGAGCACTTCCTCCCAGCTGCCCACTGCACTGAGGCTAGGAAACACTATCACCATCGATAAATCTACAATAATCGAGAATTTCAACAAGCATTTTTCTACAGCTGGCCATGCGTTCCACCTGGCTACCACTACCCCGGCCACCAGCTCTGCACCCTCCGCTGCAACTTGCCCATGCCCCCCCCCCCCCCCCCCCCCCCCCTCCCGCTTCTCCTTCACACAAATTCAGACAGCTGATGTTCTGAAAGAGCTGCACAATCTGGTCCCCTACAAATCAGCTGGGCTAGACAATCTGGACCCTTTCTTTCTAAAACTAGCCACCGAAATTGTCGCAACCCCTATTACTAGCCTGTTCAACCTCTCTTTCGTAACGTCTGAGATCCCCAGAGATTGGAAAGCTGCCGCGGTCATCCCCCTCTTCAAAGGGGATGACACTCTAGATCCAAACTGTTACAGACCTATATCCATCCTGCCCTGCCTTTCGAAAGTTTTTGAAAGCCAAGTTAACAAACAGATCACCGACCATTTCGAATCCCACCGTACCTTCTTCGCTATGCAATCCGGTTTCCGAGCTGGTCATAGGTGCACTTCAGCCACGCTCAAGGTCCTAAACGATATTATAACCGCGATCGATAATAGACAGTACTGTGCAGCCGTCTTCATCGACCTGGCCAAGGCTTTCGACTCTGTCAACCACCGCATTCTTATTGGCAGACTAAATAGCCTTGGTTTCTCAAATGACTGCCTCGCCTGGTTCACCAACTACTTCTCAGATAGAGTTCAATGTGTCAAATCGGAGGGCCTGTTGTCTGGACCTATGGCAGTCTCTATGGGGTGCCACAGGGTTCAATTCTTGGGCCGACTCTTTTCTCTGTGTATATCAATGATGTCGCTCTTGCTGCTGGTGACTCTCAGATCCACCTCTACGCAGACGACACCATTTTGTATACATCTGGCCCTTCATTTGACACTGTGTTAACAAACCTCCAAACGAGCTTCAATGCCATACAACACTCCTTCAGTAGCCTCCAACTGCTTTTAAACACTAGTAAAACTAAATGCATGCTCTTCAATCGAACGCTGCTGGCACCCGCCCACCCGACTAGAATCACTACTCTCGACGGGTCTGACCTAGAGTGTGTGGACAACTACAAATACCTAGGTGTCTGGTTAGACTGTAAACTCTCCTTCCAGACTCACATTAAGAATCTCCAATCCAAAGTTAAATCTAGAATCGGCTTCCTATTTCGCAACAAAGCCTATTTCACTCATGCTGCCAAACATGCCCTCGTAAAACTAACTATCCTACCGATCCTTGACTTTGGCGATGTCATTTACAAAATAGCCTCCAACACTCTACTCAGCAAATTGGATGTAGTCTATCACAGTGCCATCCGTTTTGTCTCCAAAGCCCCATACACTACCCACCACTGTGACCTGTACGCTCTTGTTGGCTGGTCCTCATTACATGTTCGTCGTCAAACCCACTGGCTCCAGGCCATCTATAAATCACTGCTAGGCAAATCCCAGCCTTATCTTAGCTCATTGGTCACCATAGCAACACCCACCCGTAGTATGCGCTCCAGCAGGTATATCTCACTGGTCATCCCCAAAGCCAACACCTCCTTTGGCCGCCATTCCTTCCAGTTCTCTGCTGCCAATGACTGGAACGAATTGCAAAAATCTCTGAAGCTGGAGACTCTTATCTCCCTCACTAACTTTAAGCATCAGTTGTCAGAGCACCTTACCGATCACTGCACCTGTACACAGCCCATCTGAAATTAGCCCACCCAACTACCTTATCCCTATCTTGTTATTTATTTTGCTCATTTGCACCCCAGTATCTCTATTTGCACATAATCTCTTGCATATTTATCATTCCAGTGTTAATACTAATTGTAATTATTTTGCACTATAGCCTATTTATTGCCTTACCTCCATAACTTGCTACATTTGCACACACTGTATATATATTTTCTGTTGTATTTTTTGACTTTACGTTTTGTTTAACCCCATATGTACAGTGAGGGAAAAAAGTATTTGATCCCCTGCTGATTTTGTATGTTTGCCCACTGACAAAGAAATGATCAGTCTATAATTTTAATGGTAGGTTTATTTGAACAGTGAGAGACAGAATAACAACAAAAAAATCCAGAAAAACGCATGTCAAAAATGTTATAAATTGATTTCCATTTTAATGAGGGAAATAAGTATTTGACCCCCTCTCAATCAGAAAGATTTCTGGCTCCCAGATGTCTTTTATACAGGTAACGAGCTGAGATTAGGAGCACACTCTTAAAGGGAGTGCTCCTAATCTCAGCTTGTTACCTGTATAAAAGACACCTGTCCACAGAAGCAATCAATCAATCAGATTCCAAACTCTCCCTCATGGCCAAGACTAAAGAGCTCTCCTAGGATGTCAGGGACAAGATTGTAGACCTACACAAGGCTGGAATGGGCTACAAGACCATCACCAAGCAGCTTGGTGAGAAGATGACAACAGTTGGTGCGATTATTCGCAAATGGAAGAAACACAAAATAACTGTCAATCTCCCTCAGCCTGGGGCTCCATGCAAGATCTCACCTCGTGGAGTTGCAATGATCATGAGAACGGTGAGGAATCAGCCCAGAACTACACGGGAGGATCTTGTCAATGATCTCAAGGCAGCTGGGACCATAGTCACCAAGAAAACAATTGGTAACACATTATGCCGTGAAGAACTGAAATCCTGCAGCGCCGGCAAGGTCCACCTGCTCAAGAAAGCACATATACAGGCCCGTCTGAAGTTTGCCAATGAACATCTGAATGATTCAGAGGAGAACTGGGTGAAAGTGTTGTGGTCAGATGAGACCAAAATCGAGGTCTTTGGCATCAACTCAACTCGCCGTGTTTGGAGGAGGAGGAATGCTGCCTATGACCCCAAGAACACAATCCCCACCGTCAAACATGGAGGTGGAAACATTATGCTTTGGGGGTGTTTTTCTGCTAAGGTGACAGGACAACTTCACCGCATCAAAGGGACGATGGACGGGGCCATGTACCGTCAAATCTTGGGTGAGAACCTCTTTCCCTCAGCCAGGGCATTGAAAATGGGTTGTGGATGGGTATTCCAGCATGACAATGACCCAAAACACACGGCTAAGGCAACAAAGGAGTGGTTCAAGAAGAAGCATATTAAGGTCCTGGAGTGGCCTAGCCAGTCTCCAGACGTTAATCCCATAGAAAATCTGTGGAGGGAGCTGAAGGTTCGAGTTGCCAAACATCAGCCTCGAAACCTTAATGACTTAGAGAAGATCTGCAAAGAGGAGTGGGACAAAATCCCTCCTGAGATGTGTGCAAACCTGGTGGCCAACTACAAGAAACGTCTGACCTCTGTGATTGCCAACAAGGGTTTTGCCACCAAGTACTAAGTCATGTTTTGCAGAGGGGTCAAATACTTATTTCCCTCATTAAAATGCAAATTAATGTATAAGATTTTTGACATGCGTTTTTCTGGATTTTGTTGTTGTTATTCTGTCTCTCACTGTTCAAATAAACATACCATTAAAATTATAGACTGATCATGTCTTTGTCAGTGGGCAAACTTACAAAATCAGTAGGGGATCAAATACTTTTTTCCCTCACTGTAACTCTGTGTTGTTGTTTTTAATCGCACTGCTTTATCTTGGCCAAGTCGCAGTTGTAAATGAGAACTTGTTCTCAACTGGCTTACCTGGTTAAATAAAGGTTAAATAAAATAAAATTAAAATTAAAATAAATAGCTTTTGTATCACTGGCTAAAAGTCAAATTAAGTGTTAATGGAAAGTGTTTATGGAACGTTACTGTCACTGGAACACCAATTTCATATGTCAATGCATTTTGCAGACCTATTTGTGACATAAAGTTGAAATTCAATAAAGAAAGACCCATACACGAAATTCCCTTCAAGTTTAGCACTTTGACTCCGGTAGGCTATTCTCTGATATTTCAATGCATTTTTGTAGACACTCAGATCTGGTTCCTCATAATATGAAGAGCACCTAATTATCCACAGCTCCTACTAATTTACTTATTGAAGTCTTCACCTCTCCTCAACTGCAATACTGCACAGGTCGCTGTAAATGAGTGTGTTCTCATTCTCAAATCCACTGGCTGCATCATCATTAGATTTGTTTTATATGAATATGTTAATGTTGTGACATGACAGCATTCATTTTCACTTATAGGTTCACATAATACAACAAGCACCTTCCTGTGATGTGTTGATCATGATGGAGACATTGATGCATGGCTTCTAGGATTGTAGTTGCTTTTCACCAATACACCAATACACCTTTTCATCAATACACCAATACACCACTACACCTATAACATTTGGGAGTTGCTAGAGAGGGATTCACTGTATAAAATAAAGAGTGCAGTGCAAAGTGTCATGTGCATTCCCTATACATTAGCATAGTTACATTCTTCTTCTTACCTCAACCACCACATGTATCCATACTCATATGGGAAAAAACTGTTGGGGTCATCACAACAGTATTTCATGTCATTGAAGCCGCAACAGAAAAGCGCTCGTGCATCGCTGTCCGGTTTAGGGCACGTGAACTCGTTTACGAGCACTTTCTCTGCGTTGTAGTAGCTCGTGCAGTCCGCGCTCATGCTGACCTCAAACACGCGAACACGCCAACCAGACAATTTGTTAGATCAGTTGAAGTTTCAATCCATCTATATTATTGTCAATCCAAACAGCTGAGTGCTCTGTGTCTTGCTGGTTAACTTGCAAGGTATTTAAGTAAGTCCCCATTACTGAGCCCACCTCTCTCTCTCTCTCTCTCTCTCTCTCTCTCTCTCTCTCTCTCTCTCTCTCTCTCTCTCTCTCTCTCTCTCTCTCTCTCTCTCTCTCTCTCTCTCTCTCTCTCTCTCTCTCTCTCTCTCTCTCTCTCTCTCTCTCTCTCTCTCTCTCTCTCTCTCTCTCTCCCCCCCCCCACTTCAACGCAATCTCCAAAGAAAACGCTATACCTCTCTCTCTGTGTGTGTCTGTGTGTGTGCGCGCGCTCGTGTGCGTCTGTTCAGAATTGGCTTCATTTGCATCCACGTCCCGTTCACCAGGATGCGTGAGTTTATTGTCAGTTTCGCCCACTAGTTGGCTTGTTAATGGTTACAATCTATTGGAAATAGAAACACTTTAATTGCTTTTTGCAACTTAAAGCATATATTACCATGGATTTCTTTGGTGTGTGATTAGTGGGATGTTGAATGGTGCTCCTGTGTTTCTCTGATAGTAGGATAGGCCTACAGTATCAAGCACAAAACCCCCTCTTAAGCCTTAGCCTCACCCATCTCTTTAAGAATTCACATGTGAGGCCATGTGCTAAACAGAGTGAGTATGGTAGTGTACTACACAACCAAAGATTTAGCTTAGGTTTGTGAGTGTGATGAAATAAAAGCTTTACATTCTACCGGAGAATTTTAGAACATGTACACTGTCTCGTTGGCCTGACGTTATATGCTAATTTGACTTTGGTGCAGGTCATGTTGTTATTCACATTACTGTCTCTGGTAAACACACACTATATAAAATCAAATCAAAGTTTATTTGTCACATGCACAGGATACAGAAGGCGTAAAAGGTACAGTGAAATGGTTACCTGCATTGTGGAGTATTTTGTTTAGACATATAGCTAGCTAGCTAGCTAGCTAAACAATTAACCATAATCCCAACTCATAACGTTACTACCCTGCATGAATCTACAAGTAGCTAATGCTAACCAACTAGGTTCAATATGTTAGCTAGCTAGTTAGCTAACATTAGACTATAACTAGCAATGCAAATAGCTCTGAGATACGGATAATATTACTACACAGATCATCCACGTAACATTAGCTAGCGAGCCAGCCAGCCAGCTAAAGTTAGCTAGCTAGCTAACAGTAAGCCTTAACTTGCAAAATTTGAAATGTACAATATCTGAAAATGTAGCTAGCTAGACTCTCTTACCCGTATACATGGATGTACGCTCTCTCTCTCTCTCTCTCTCTCTCTCTCTCTCTCTCTCTCTCTCTCTCTCTCTCTCTCTCTCTCTCTCCCCACTGCAACGCAATCTCCAAAGAAAACGCTATACCTCTCTCTCTGTGTGTGTCTGTGTGTGTGCGCGCGCTCGTGTGCGTCTGTTCAGAATTGGCTTCATTTGTCCGTCCCTACAGAGTAGAGTTGTCCTTGGTGCTGATTTGCATCCACTTCTCGTTCACCAGGATGCGTGAGTTTATTGTCAGTTTCGCCCACTAGTTGGCTTGTTAATGGTTACAATCTATTGGAAATAGAAACACTTTAATTGCTGTTTGCAACGTAAAGCATATATTACCATGGATTTCTTTGGTGTGTGATTAGTGGGATGTTGAATGGTGCTCCTGTGTTTCTCTGATAGTAGGATAGGCCTACAGTATCAAGCACAAAACCCCCTCTTAAGCCTTAGCCTCACCCATCGCTTTAAGAATTCACATGTGAGGCCATGTGCTAAACAGAGTGAGTATGGTAGTGTACTACACAACCAAAGATTTAGCTTAGGTTTGTGAGTGTGATGAAATAAAAGCTTTACATTCTACCGGAGAATTTTAGAACATGTACACTGTCTCGTTGGCCTGACGTTATATGCTAATTTGACTTTGGTGCAGGTCATGTTGTTATTCACATTACTGTCTCTGGTAAACACACACTATATAAAATAAAATCAAAGTTTATTTGTCACATGCACAGGATACAGAAGGCGTAAAAGGTACAGTGAAATGGTTACCTGCATTGTGGAGTATTTTGTTTAGACATATAGCTAGCTAGCTAGCTAAACAATTAACCATAATCCCAACTCATAACGTTACTACCCTGCATGAATCTACAAGTAGCTAATGCTAACCAACTAGGTTCAATGTTAGCTAGCTAGTTAGCTAACATTAGACTATAACTAGCAATGCAAATGGCTCTGAGATACGGATAATATTACTACACAGATCATCCATGTAACATTAGCTAGCGAGCCAGCCAGCTAAAGTTAGCTAGCTAGCTAACAGTACGCTTTAACTTGCAAAATTAGAAACATATAATATCTGAAAATGTAGCTAGCTAGACTCTCTTACCCGTATACATGGATGTACGCTTCTCCCTCTCTGTCACGGATGCCATGGTTGCCCTTAGTTTGACGATGTAATCCAGAGACAGGTGTTTTATACAACAGCCTTCTGTGTGTTCTCTTTTCAACTCCCTCCACATATTTGCAATCAAACACCTGAATTTTCTCTATCTCCTTAGCTATCATATTCTGCATCCACCAGGTATTCCACTGATTTCAAAACTCGGTCCTCCAGAAAGTGCAGAGCATTAGCAACACTTTTGCAGTTCTTCATGATATCTTTCAAAAAAGCCACATTAGAAAGGGTTACCTACATATACTGAGCAGCTCATGTTATAGACAGAAACACACTACATGGCAGACCAATCTGAACTCATCTCTCGGCATGTCCAGCCCATCCATTACCTCAGACAATCATGGCTAGCGGGAAGGTTCCTGTCTTTTTCCGTGGCTAAACCAACTAGGCTTGTAATTGAACAATTGTATTCATATTTACAGATGGCATACAAGTTTGTTATTAAGGCACATGTTCACATGTTCCAGAAGGCATTTCTACCCAAAAATGCCTTTTCATTTAAAAAAAAGTTTAAGTTCAAATGCCTCTCCTGTGAAGTAGTGACACGCGACATATGCCTAGTTTCCTGAAACAAGTCACATTATCATCGGAAACAATAAGTAAAACATGCTGTGTGATATTACGAGACCTGTGTAGCATTACGAGACCCGTGTAGCTCAGTTGGTAGAGCATGGCGTTTGCAACGCCAGGGTTGTGGGTTTGATTCCCACAGGGGCCAGTATGAAAATGTATGCACTCACTAACTGTAAGTTGCTCTGGATAAGAGCGTCTGTAAAATGTACAATAATGTGGTTCCAGTAGGCTACATCTGTCAAGAGTGAGTCAGTTAACAAAGACCTAATTTGCGTTCCTAAACTAGTTTTGTCCAAAAGTTCCAAACAGTCCTTGTTGAAAGGATAGTGTTTTGAATGTTGTTCACATTTCTAACACCTAACAATGAATCTGAGTTTCACAACAGCTACTCTATCAAATAAAACAATACAACAGCTATAGCTGGGAAAAGACCTCTACTGTTTCTACAAGAATAGCTCAGTATAATTGTTGTATCAATAACTTGTTGGCATAGTCTTGCTTGGAGTGGATTTACAGTGGTTTAAATGGACAGATAAAATCTGATTTTTGATTTGTCAATAACTTTTGACCAATCCCTTAGTTTGTCCCAAACTTGGTCCTACGGTTCATGAGAAGAAGATTTTTATTTGTTACCTATTTTAGCATATTAACGTATGTGCTCATATGCATATACTGGTATATTGTAGCCATCTTTGAATGCATCAACGTTATTTTCTCAAACTCTTTAGGGACTATTGTCAAAAGACCACATTTGGAGTGAATCTGACTTTTAGTCCATGAAAATAAGATTTTTTATGATTATTTTAAGCATTAGCGTTACATAGTCAAAAAGGTGAATTGTTAATAGTTTCCTTATTTGTTTTAAAATATCAATGCCAAACTTAACATGGTTCATCATGGTAATGTCTTTGATGACCCTAAAAAGTTTCAAGTTGATAGGCCATTGTGGAGTCGATTTATGAAGGATTTTAATGGACATGTAAAAGTTTAGATGTGTTCCATGAGCCTGCATACCAAATTTGGTGTTATTTGGACATTTTTCCAATGTTTTCCAAATGTTTTCCAAATTTTCCAAGATGGAGGAAAATCTATCCTGACAGACCTTATGGGTCCTTGAGGCAAATTTGTTCAGCATGGGCACAGACGTCAGTTCAAGGTCTAGTTTTGATTTGACATTAGGTTGAGTTGTCAACTAACTTGAATTCAACGTGAAATCAACAAAAACAAAAATGTCATTGGATTTAGGTTAAACGTTTGGTGAAAAAAAGACTAAATGCCCTTATGTTGATGACATTTTGCAAATCCAAGTTTTCCATGTTGATTCAACGCCATCACATAGATTGTTTTGGTTGAAATGACGTGGAAACAACACTGATTCAACCAGTGGGTAGGTCAAACCGGGCGACGGATATGAGGCTATTTTTGACCAAGTTATTTCTGACCTGTAGTTTCTGTGTGCCAAATTAGAAAAAAAGTGACCAACCTAACCACACGGACACCGTAGTAAACAAGGCACTCTTCAACCTCAGGAGGCTGAGGAAATGTATCCTGTCCCCGAGGGCCCTCACAGTGTTCTAAAGGAACACCATCGAGAGCATACTGTCGGGCTGCATTACAGCTTGGTACAGCAACTCCACCGCCGCGGACCGCAAGGCTCTTCAGAGGATGATACGTGCAGCTGAACGCACCATTGGGTGCACACTGCCTGCCCTGCAGGACACCTACAACACCAGGTGTTGCAGGAAGGCCAAGAAGATCATCAGGGACCCCAGCCACTGCATGTTGGCGCTCGAAGCATAAGATTTTAACTGTACCATGCAATCACACCTGCAACCCTATACATGTGACTATTAAACACTCTGAATCTGAATCTCTTAATCAATCTATGCTTG